AGAATGCTTTTTCATAGAAGCAGAAGCCTGCCTATGAACTTGCAAGCAGTACTTGAGCAGCAAGCAAGATGCGTACATCCAATACAACAAGAACACGGCACTGTTTTTACAGTACTTCAAATAAATTGTAATGCTGAGCTCCCAAGTACTGGGGATGAGCTGGGTTTCTGAGTGCTACTCAGAGCAGCACCTGTAGCTCGAGCCAGGGGAGGCATCACCACCCAGGGCCATGTGCCAGAGCCTGTCCCTGCTGTGCACGAGCCCACTTCTTTTTCTGCTTTCCATTTTTTAAAAGGAAAACTGCCCACCAAGCTGCCCCTGCAGGCAAAGTCTGTGTCACGATACGCTGACAGTGACACCAACAGAATCCCTCTGCATCTTCCTAAAAAGTGTTTCCCCTGGGAAATGAAATCAATAATCTTAAGCAGTAGCAAATGCACACAAAGCAGACTGCTTCAAAAAGCACCGTTTGTGCTGCCTTTAAACCACATTGAAAACACTGTGTGTTTTAATCACACCCCTGCACCCTCCTTGTTGTGTTCCTGTGCCTTCCTCCATGCTCACAGGGCTAACTAACTCCAGCAGGGGAGGCTGTGCATGGCTGAGGTCCACCCTCATGTTGCAGCCCTGAGTTCTCCCACTGCTTTCCAATACACTTTTTTTGTCTTCAAGGGGTTTCAGTTCAGATTGCCAAATACGTTTTTAATGGAAAGAAACAAATATCCACAGGAGGAATGTTAGAACAACAACTCAAAAAATTCCTCTCTGCACCCAAATGGATGCCAAAATCATCACCAAGCTCCATCACAGCTTAGCACACTTTGCAACTCCGTGCCCAAGCAGCAATAACAAGGAGCTGGGAGCCCAGGAACACAGGTATTTCTCAGCTCACAGACTGGATCACAGAACACACTTCTGGTGTAAAGCAGCAGCCAAGCCTTTCCTGTTCAGTACGTTAAGCTTCATAAGAGGCTAAGAACATTTTGGAGCAAGAAGGCTTTAAAGGTGGCATACTAAATCTAGAAAACTGAGAAAAACGCACACACTGGGTTGGCTCTGAAGCCAGAATAGGTGTGACTGGGTATATTAATTTCTAGAAACTTCAGATGCCAACACATACAGTGCTCCTGAATGCCCCCATGGGATCCCTGACACCTCCCACCTTCTGCACCCACACACTGGGATGGCAGAGCAGCTTCCTCCACCGCTTTTACACACAGAATTGCGGCGCTGGGAGCCATGCTATGTGATGAAATTCTCTCTCTCTAGGCAACGTCAGAAAAATACGGCCTTACCTCTGTTATCATGCATGAAACAATATGCTTCCTTCCTGTTCCTCCTCTAACAAATAAGTAAAGCTTAGGAAAAAAAAAAAGGAGACAACAGCTTTCAACAATACAACTTTTAAATCACAAGAGACTTAAAGGCCTGGGGACTGCAACAGCACAGGTTTTAGTGAGCATCTCATAGGGAGCATGGGGTGCCTCTTACCACAGCATCAGCAGTGATGCAACTACATGAAAATCAGTTGTCATTTCAAGACTTCTTTTTCACTTCTGTTTGTACAGAGTCAAAAACAAGACTGGAGCCTAAGGGCTCAAGAGACAGAGAGCAGCTACAAAAGATTCCTCTATTTTTAGTAGTACGATTTCGAAGCTTGATCCTGACAATGCTGGAATATTTACAGACATAAAATGTGTTCTGAAATCCAAACAACTTTTTTTGTTTCATTATTTGTGCAGCCTCTACCCCCCAAACTTGAGTGGATTTTTTTTTCAGGCATCACTGCTGGCACATACAACTTTATTTCTATTATTAAAATGTTAACATGAAAGAGATATAAGAGGCTTCCATTCAGTTCCAACTTTGGAATCATTAGACACGGTAATTAAATCAGACATCTTTAATTGCGCAGCAGGATGTAATAAAAAATGTCTCTGAAAATCAAATGATGCCCTCTTCCTGACAATGCCACCTTAGGGAGTCCTCTCCCTGCAGCACCCACAGCTTTGGGCAGCTGTGCCAGAGCATCTCCACCTTCTGAATGAAGAATTCCTTCCTAATATCTGACCTAAGACTCCCCTCTTTCAGTTTAAAATCAGTCCCCCTTTTCCTATTGTTGCACGAAGTCATTCTCCCTCCTGTTTATTAACTCTCCTCAAATACTGAAAGGCTGCAGTGAGGTCTCCCTGGAGCCTTCTCCATGCTGAACACCCCCAGTTTCCTAATCCTGTCTATACAGGAGAGGTGCTCCAGTCCTCTGAGCATCCTGGTGGCCCTCCTCCAGCCCAGCTCCACCAGTCCCACGTCTCTCTTGTGCTGGGGCCCCCAGGCCTAGATGCAGCACAGCAGGTGGTGCCTCACAAGGGCAGAGCAGAGGTGGACAATCCCTTCCCTGTTAATGCAGCTCAGGATGCAGTTGGTGTTCTGGGCTGCAAGAGCACACTGCTGGCTCACATCCAGCTTTTCATCCATCAGAACCCACAAGACCTTCTTCGCAGTGCTGCTCTTGAGGAGTTGCTCTCCCATTCCACACACAGAGCTGGGCCTGCTCCAACCGAGGTGCAGCACCTTGCACTTGGCCTTGTTGAACCTCATTCAGTTCACCTCCTCGATGGGCTCCACACGTGGGGGCCCT